AGCGAAGAAAAAGCTACCATGACGGCCAAAAAAACAGAAGAAAATGCTACCATCAAAATGATGAAAACAAAAAAAAAAACCCCAAAAACACAAACACACAAATTGTGAAGAAGCATCAACATGTCATCTTGATTCAACAATAGCAGACCCTGGTTTGAAGCGGTGAAGGGTGTACGGGACCATTATGATGACTTGGACGCAAGCTTGCAGGATTGGTCCCCAGCCACCACTTACTCTTAGACTGACCAGAGTTCTCCATCCCATCGGCATTTAAATGGAGAAAAAGGCTACCATCAAAATGATAAAATGGAAAAAAATTTAGACTGCATTAAGAATAATTTCGATTCTCTGTTTCTCCAGGACAGACTTCATAGTGGCTCCTAGTAACACTGAGTATACAATAACATTCAGTCTAAGGGACAAATGATTTTTGGTCAAGGCCGTGTTACCATCCTGTACAGCCAGGCAGCTCTCACTATTGGGTTTGGGAAGACTAAATGCAGCTTCCTGCCAAAAAAAAAAAAATTGTGAAAAACGATGGAAAAGCATGCAGAAGGCAAGTCATCTTGAATTCCCTCCCCTTCCCTTCCCTTGTTCAACAAAAACTGATTCGTTGAAGACTATTATGACAGTGAAGTGTAAAAATAGCCTCCTAAGTTCTAGTTTTAAGCATTTTGAAATTTGATACCCCTGTGCTTTAGAATAGAATAGAATGGTCCCTTCTAACGAAACAAAAACATTAATATTTTTTATTTTCTGGTAATTGAGACATTTATGATAAACAAGTAGGTAGAAAATAATAATATAGCTGAGGTTGTAAGACAATATGCTAAGTCAGACTAGTGCTGCTGAAGTAAACTAGACATGCCAGGAAAAAGATGGCAAACAACTAGTTTCGCATTATTTATTTCAGTACTATAGCTAAAGATAACATGGAGGGTCTAGTTCCTTTTATATGGCAGGAGGTCATTATCAAGCATGTATAGCATCCTTACAGCAACAAAAATATAGAAAAATATAACACGAGGTACCATTTACTCCTTGAAAAAAAAGGCTAATATTATTACCTCACTGGTTTTGCCAGGAGAGCTATACTTCAGCTTGATGCTTCAAAAAGTTCTAGAGCAAAATAATCCTACCGAAGAATGCCAGATGATTTAAGCTATCAGGTTGGAGACGTCTTATTAATTGCTGTAGCACTACAATGTATTGAATGATGCAAGAAATTCAGATGGTCCTTCATCTTCTTTAATGATCTGTTCATAATCAACATTTTGGTACATATGAGAAGGCCTGTATAAGCACATGTATTGAGTAGTATGTGCTCTTGCAGCTTTACAACCACAGAATAAAATATAGACGGAATTTCAGGCAGTGATGTGGAAAAACATAAAAAGAAAACAAAATAGAAGGTTGTAAGAAAGACCAGTTAGACCCCACTTGTGCTTTAAGTTAGCATGGAAAAACAGGTGAACCAAGTAAGAAATAAAGTGAAGAGAAACTAAATGAAATCACAAAAACAAAGAAATACAAGCCAAGTTGCAAAACAACCTTGGAAATACCTAAATGTAAATATTTTCAGTTAAATCAAATCTGCCTAGCCACTTACATTAAGCTTTTTTTAACAATTAGAAGTCGATATTTTAGTCAATTCCAAACGTTGAACTTTTATATCAGAAGAAGAGTAGATAGAACAAGACTTGCATAACATACTAAGATACTTAAAATGCAAAAACAATGTGAAGAACTTCAACCATAAATTCCATACCTTAATGGGGGTATCCTTTGGCAGACCCAAACGAGCTAGAACATTAGAACCAACTTGATTCCAGTCAATCTCTTCTTGATCTCTGAATTCCCCACTGTTATGTAATTGACTCCAGCTTTTATCATGAGAAAAAGACCTTCCTACCCAAAAATTTAGAATCCTAACTGCACTCTTGCCTAAACCTGTACTTGGAGTACAAATTGCAAATGAAGATTTAGAATCTAGATCAGACATACTAAATCTTGCAATCCTTTCTAAACCAGGCATGCGATATACTAAATGTTGCATTACATTAGGATGTGGAGAACCACTTCCCCCTATCCCTTTCAGGACGGTGGATCCACACCCATACACTAAAGCATGATTTCTACAAGGTTGACCAGAACTATTTACAAAAGTAGCCTCCTTATCACATGGATCAGCATTAGCTACTCTACCAGGAGATATCTTCAACTTGGAAGCTGAATCTCCTTCCCTTTTTCTCACATCAAACTTATAATCAACTACAATTTCTGTATCTTGCCCACATGAAGAGTAAGTGGTGTCAAAGTCATTGATCATGACCCCATCCTCCTGGTTAACATAAAAACACTGTGGATTTACTCTTATATCATCAGTTGCCACTGGCAGCTTGAGAGACTTTGATAAGCTCCCACGACGCTCTGCAAGGGAAGCTGAAATATTTTTAAAAGATGAAGGTGCAGACCAAGGACATGGCTGAGAACTACAATTCTTCCCCACAATTTCTGGGCTATTAGCTTTACGTTCAGAAATTATGGATGAGCAGAGTGTCAAGTTAGGAAAGTTACACAAAACTGAAGACACAGGAAGAGAACATGAAGCAGCTGAAGGAGAATCCAAAGAGCATTCTGAATACTTTGAACCAGTACTTGAATCGGAAGATACAGAATCGGGAGACAGAAAAGGAGGTGAGGAAGATGAGGATGAGGATGATGATGACGAAGAAGGGGACGATGAGTGTACTATCATCATGGATTCTGAGTAGACCCTGGAGAGGTATAACTTTGGTAATGTGACAAATTCCTTCATAACACCAGAAGCAAACTTGCGTCTAAGACCACTCCAACAGCTTTCTCTAGCAGGAAGATGGGTTTCATGCTCATTCTCAGATGAAGCAAATGGAGGAACAAAACCTCCCTTGATAGCTTTCTGGAAAATCTCAAAATCAACATTATATGCATCCACTTTCCTCTTACCAGGGGAAATCTTGATTGTTGATTCCCCAACCTCCACTCTTCCAGATTTATCCATCAAAGGTAAAATGTTTAAAAAGGCATCCCAAAAATAAGATGGTTCTTCTCCCTCTTTGATCATTACTATTGGCCCTTGCACTTTCTCATACCGAACAATCTGACAAACTGCCCCTCTTGCATCCCTTTCCATGATGGCTTCACAGTGTTTACCAATCCAGATGTATATTGCAGAAGGTATTTGAATGATAAAGGTGCCTCTAGAATCCAGTGCCGAAGGAGAAGGATCATTCAACAATTTTGGGACGAGGTGCAAAGGATCATATGCTGAGTGCGGGGCAAGTTTATACATTCTAAATAAGGAACTAGGGCTCAATGGAACTGCATGGACTCGCTTTTGGCACTGCAGCAACTGGCAAGCAAAACCCATGTTTGGATCTGCAATCCCTCTAGCTGCCTTCACATACTGGAAGGCATCATCAAAACTCTGACCTTCTCTCCACATAAGATATGCTATCACCAACGATGTGGACCTTGATACCCCCTGGCAGCAATGAACAAAAACTCTCCCATGCTGTTCCCTAACATCCTCAAAATAATCAAAAACATCATAGAGTATGCTAGTAATATCCTCCGATGGATTATCTTGCAACCACAAGGTTCTGTACACAAAATCATCCTTGAAATACTCAGAACAAAGAAAACCCACACAATTCAAGACATGGGTAATTCCATTCTTCTTCAGTATATCCCTGTCCCTTGCAACAGCATCTCCACCAAGATAAATATGTTCTGCCACTTTTGAACATTCTTTATCAAAGAAAGCAATTTTATCCCTCTTCACTAGACCACCATTCTTGTCTGGATTCGGCTGAATTGATGACAAATCAAGCTTTAACCTCTCATTGCTCTTGTTCCCACTTGGGGTTGGCGGTTGTGGCCACTCACCAAGATCATCAGAACTGGCCTTTGGCCATTCATCAAAGTTCCTGCGTGCAATTGATAATGGCTGCAGAGGCGGCAAACAAGAGCGCGCCTTACAATTTTGTTGAGATCTTGGGGTTAATGGAACAGGAGGATAACGTCGATTGTGCCCATCACTATTGCCGTTATTACCATGCGAATCCGCTAAATTTTTTTCTTCAATTTCAGGGGCTTGAGAGGCAGTTCGGGAAGAGGACCATGAAGCCGAGCGCCAAAACATCTTTCGGGAGCCAGAAATCTGACCTGCAACCCTCGGATTACTGGAAGCATCCTCCTTTCCCACCATACCCACTTCAAAATCCTAACTTCGCAATTCAAAAACCTAGAAACCAGATGAACCCAAATTTCCCAGCATACCACTCAAATACGTGAAGAGATTTGGACCCAACTTCTTCAATTAAACACCATAGGAATATGTACCCAGTGCGTACCTAAATTTCCATTACGCCGACTTCAAAAACTCAAAAATTAAATTCGAGGTACCCAGAACCTAAAAACAGCTGCGAATCTGCCTTACTTGTTTTGAGGAATGAAAAGAATGAAGCCGACGACCCAGAATGTAGAGAATCAAAACCCATAACAGATCAGGCATGGACTACGCGAGAAGTCACTGCACAAACAGGAAAAAAAAAAAAAAAAGCGGTCAAATTTCTACGATTCATGAGAAAAATAACAAAATTAAGTATCTTTCATTAGGACTCCTCCTCATGCGATGCCAAGAAGAGACAGAGATTTGAGACTTACAGAAATGAAGAGCACGGGGCAAGCATGAAAACTGAAACATTACAGGGCGAGAGAAGGAGAGAAAGAGAGAGGGTAAAGGGGCAGGAACGAAGGGGGTAAGAAAGGAGCAGTCGTTTTTCAATAATTTATTGCCTTCTTTATTAATTTGACAGAAGCAGTGAGAACAACGGCCTCTTCTTTGGTGTGTTGGACCATCGACTGCGACTCCACCCTCAGACCAGGGGAAACTGAATCTCCCAACTTCTCTGCCTCAGAGGTGTGTTACCCGCTCTTCATCTTTCTTAAAGAGTGAGACGGGAGCGCATCTAGAAGAAATTACCCTCAAGATAGGCACAATTTAGCTCAAAAAATGTGTTCATCGAATTTGTTTTTTAAGATTAGATTTATAGTCTGTTGGTTTAAGGAGAGATTAAGATTTTTTAATTAATTAGATTACAATATCTAAAATTGTTATAATTTTATTAATCACAAAATCCTCCCCTCCACCAATCATACTATTAGTAAGAAAATTTTGGCCTATTTGGTATTAGAATCCAAGAAAATCTCCTTCAAAAGGTTTCATCTTGAAATGAAATCTAGAAGATTACCGATTACACAGCAATAAATTTCATCAAGATTTGGCATCATTTTTGTCACACTGCAAAGAATTGTGTAGGTGTCTTACGGCAAAGTGTTTTACCATCAGAAAAACAACTAGTAGATAGACTATAACAACATTGAAGAACCCTGTCAGAAGATTCTGAGATACATTTCAACCATCGAGCTTCAACATGGTGAAACAGGTGAACTACAACGTTATTCCAGCAGAAGACACGTTTAAGTTTACGGGGATGCTCGTAGATTCTATATACAAGAGTGCATACATTGTATAGGTAGCTTCAGATATATGGGGGTGTGGTGACCTGACGAGAAGAATTATTGCCCATAGCATGACCCAGGACCTCTCGGTGGTCTTCTCGCGTACTTATTTGTGACTGGAGCAGCCTGAACCCCACGCCTATTTAGAAGGCATCGGAAATAATGTAGCCTTGGTAATGCAGTTAAGGTAATATTTCCTGTAGATATGGCTTCCCTTCGGCTCCACAGGCGCTCTATAGGCATGCAAAAGAGAAGGAATGACATGCTTAAACAAGAATAAGAGAACGTGATTCTAATTTACAACTAAAATTACTATATGAAAACTTTAGTGCCTGCTCAATATTTAGTTTTGGCAAGAGTACAGGGCATACCTGCTGCTGCTGCAGCTCGTGGCCATATTGTCTCCTGAACAGCTGAGGTATCAGCTGTCTCCCCCCACATGCAAACTTGTCCTCCAAGAACAAGTTCCTGCTTGGAAACATCATTTATTCCTTCCAGAGGCTCAGCAGTATACACTTGATCCCAATGGACATCTAAGTGGTCAAGATACCAAACACCTTGATTGCTGAAAATGCATCTGAATCCATTGGCCACAACCTTTGGACATACCCCAGGGCCCAACCTACCATAGCATATAAAGTCATCCACATTAGCATTTTGCAGAACTGAGTAACACCTCTGGCATGAGAAACTTCAATAGAAACTTACCAATTATGCACCACAGTCCGAGGATTAAGGTTTGCGGCAAAATTATTGAAGGTTTCTTCCCTGTTATAAGAACCATTCAGATGTCATCAGATTTTTTGATGTTTTAATCATAAACATAGAGTCACCCTTTATAGCTGACATTTCATGTTTATATAATTGAGCATACTTGCAAACAGCTGGTTCATATTTTTCAACTAGTGCATTAATATCTTAGGCAATTTACATTCAAGTTTTTGCTGACATCTCAGGGGTTTTCAGTGATCTAATAACCTAGCAGAAAAGACTAAGTCAGTGAACTTCTCATGCAAGAAAATCAGAGAGCAAAGTCAACTTTAGAACGGCAAGACAAGTATTTGCAGAAATACCAGTTAACAGGTGTCCAGTTTTGTGAAATTGCTATTTCTTGTGCTCTGAGGACAAAATATTGATATGCATCCTTTGTAGTCATGCTGTGATCTCCCAGCCTGCAATGAGATTGATAAATGGTCCACAGAATTGTAGAAGCTTTTATAAAAGCATAATGAGAAATTTTAGACCAAAACAATGAACAAAAGCTGATCAATGAAAGGAATTGAGGATTGTACCATTTTTTCACATGAGGTGTGGAGCTCCAGCAATCTTTAAGAATAGAGGGCTAGTATTAGTAAATTCCAGAAGGCTTGAAAACATAAAAGTAGCATTCAAGTGGTAGCACCTAGGAACTCACTTTCACTACATTTAAAACTGATGTCTACACATAACCAAAAGGAAAGGCTGTACTAAACTTTTCTTCTTTCCATCCTTTGATTCTCAAGATCAAATAATTATATGTTTCTGTCTTAAATGAAGACAGTCTGGAAGCAACAGGGGAGCCACTCATACTAACCTGTATTAACTTCATCACCACCCAAGTGAAAGAGCTCAAATGGGAAAATTTTTCTGATATCTGTAAAATAGAAACTTCAATTTAAAATAAAAGCATGCTTTGCATTAATATATCTTAATAACAAATAAAAAGAACAAGGCCTAAAAATCAACAAACTATAGGACATGCTTTGCATGAGAAGATATTTGGGGGGAAAACATGGAGAGAATCAAACATCTCAGAGTACCTAGACATTCATTTCTAGATGTAGGTAAGGTAATCAAAACCATAAAAGATGTTCAAAGGGAATAATTAGTAGATCAAGAAAAAAAATAATTTGACAGTCAAAATGACTTGAGTCAATGCAGGTTCATATAGTTGAAAGTCAACAAACAAGCTCTGTAATGGATTCCAAGAATAAGTAGTAGGTGGATCAACTGTGTTTATCGTCAACAGCAATAAAACAAGGTGACAGGTCAATGTCAGTCCAAAATACTTGCTCACTTCCAGAAAGTAACTAATACCACCACGGAAAGGTTTTCATGAAGTCAAACCTGCCAGGATGCCAGAAATGACATCAAAGGTGAAATTTTTTGAAACATCAAGTGGCTCTCTGCAGGAAGAAGAAGGCCAAAGATCAGGATATCCAGCTCCCCTACAACAAAAAGCAGGTCACAACTTAGAAGATTATGTCATAGTTATAAAGATCAACAACAATACCAAACAAAAACTATATGGACTAAATAAGAAAAAGAACGCCAACATTTCCCCTAAGTTCTCTTTTCATTATTCAAGACTCATCAGCTGTGCCTGTAATTATAAAATTATTATATCAAGAAAAGAAGTTTAACATATATCAGTCTTACCATGATTCTGCATGACCAGGGACATCTACTTCAGCCATAACATTGATCCCTGCCATAAACAACTCCAAAAATTTATGAAAAGAAGATATACATCGTTGAAACTATAGGAAACAGTTTAAAGACAAAATGCACCTCTCATTTTGGCAAAGCTTTACATTGATGTGCAGAAACATAAGACAGAAGACAAGCCATTAGCAATGTTGAGGCAAGAAGCATGTGCATTTAAATTAAGTTTAAGAAGATAAAAGAGAAATGATTCTTCTAACCATGAAGAAATAAACAAGCATAGCTAAATACTCAAAGATATGTCCTTAGAAGATTTTAAATAGCAGGGGTTAACTGTGGATCAAATAAGCTGTTTCTGACTGACCTAACAACCTCTTGTGCATCCTCAACTGTATAGCGCTCCCACTTTGAATATGCACCTTTCCACAAATTTGGGTATGTTGGTACTTCTAGAGGAAATGACTGCTCATCTATGATGTGCCAATGAAGAACATTCTACTGAACGCAATACTTAATGTCAGATAAGATGATGTACGATTGGAGAATAGAAAATGGTGCAATAACCATGTGACTGCTTGATTGAATTTGATTCAGTAATTCAACATTGAAACAAAAATTTAAAGCAAAAGAGAAGAGAATAAACTCATAAAGTCCAGTACTAGCATATCTTACAAGTTTAGCATATGACATAGATTCGATTATCTGCTTAATAACTTCAGTTGGTAAATAGTGTCTTGATGTATCTGCAAAAATTGCAAACAAAATGATCATCAAGTGATATTTCAGGGAAAAAATAGTTTTAAAAGAGAAAAGTTAATTGAAACATATGCCTTGTATTGAGAAACAAAATTAAGAGTTACCAAGTAAAAGTCCACGATATGCAAATCTTGGCTTGTCCTGGATGTACCATGGTGCCTTGTATATTTGCACCGACTTAGTTCCATAATCAAACACACACAATTGGCTGAATGTCTACAATATAAGAGAGAAGAAGATTAAAAGAGGGACATGTAAGACTCCTAGAAACCAAGACAAAACAAAATCATTGAAAAGGAATAGCTGATTTTCTATACCCTCTTGACTCCAAGAAACATAGGTCATATCCAATAACATCATTAGTTTCATTATAGCTCAATGCCTCACTTGATGGAGTATGATTTTCCATGTTAATTAGAAAAGAACAGTACTTTTGATGGATTAATGAACAACTATGTATAATATGCCTATTTCAGTTTGAAAGTTAATAGCTGCTTACATACCTCCAACCCTCGGAGTGCACCATAAACAGTATTTGCCTGCAATAAAACCAACATCAGCATAGATTCATCAATAAATTCATTCATAGTCTCAACAATCCCCATTCTGCAATTAATTCACTAAAGATGCTTCATTTCTTTTCTCCCCTAGTTGTAAACAAAAACTAAGTATCCCCCGGTTGTAAACAAAAACTAAGTATAATACTCTATTAAAGCACATGACAGGACTGAAGTTCAAACTGGACCTGCATCTAATGGGGTGTGTTAAGTTGTAAAATAGCAAATTGAAGCATAATAAGAATTAAGGTCAATTTGTTTTAGGCTGGATGTCCAATTTTCACATGCGTAGTCCTAAGGACTAATTGGGTATCACTATTCACCCTAACATCAGTACACATACTGCAAACCCTAAAGCCCATTGGTTCAAGTTTTCAATCGAATTTACCTCAATTGTCGCCTCCCAAACAATGGACTGCGCATCCCTCTTCGCTACAGTCAGACTATAACTCTCATCCACACCCAATTGAAGCTGCCAATTGAAATACAAGACTAAAATCAAAACTTTATCACAGTATTGAAACATCATTCTAATCTGAATTCAACCCAACCGACCTCTTCGCTTTCTGAGTGAACAATTACTGTCAATTCGCTAATATCATACACAGATCCTCTCCCCCTGAACTTCCCAAATATAGAAAACCCAGAAGCGCGCTTGAATATAACCCTCTTATATCGGTCAAATGCCTCGCTGACAACGACAGAGTTGCCCCCATTCCCCGACACAGTCAGCGTAATTGAAGGGTCCACCGACAGCGTCTCGTTACCGGAACTGAACTCCGCTGGCAAAGGCCATATGAAAGTCAGAGATTCATCCAGCTCAAATGCAAACCCAGGAGCTACAATTTGAGATATACAAAAGAAAAGTAGCAAAATCTTGGGGATTTTCAGATGGGGTTTTGGAAAATTGGGGGACATGGCTACTTGCGTGTGTTAGAAGCTATCCCCCTTGGCTTTTTGTTTGGCCGGAGGGAGGGGAGGAGCAGTAGCGGTGGTGATGAGTGTTGGAAGGTGTTTTAAGAGGAGTTGGTGGGGATTTAACAAGGGATAAAGGGAATAGTTGTTCCCGGTCAACCGGATAAGATGACAGACCTGTAGTCTTTCTTCTTTTTTTTCTTTTTTTCTTTTTTGTCTTTTTTCTTTTTGGGTAAACAACATGCGTAGTGAATTTCGCTTCTCGGTTTTTATGATTTTGACGGTTGATGTTGGCGCGGGTGGAGGGCCAAAAAACGATGTCGTTTTGTTGGTTGGATACTCGGGTTTCTTTACTATACTTGGACTTGGGATCCAAAAATGAAATTCTTGGATTGTGGTTGGGCTGAGTTGAAAATTGAAAATCATTATTTTATTTTATTTTTTAAAAAAGATGTCTACTTTATTCTTTCCTTCCCTCTCGTCATTTAGTCCTTCCATTCCTTGCTCTTCTTACCTTTGGTTTTAGTATATTTGAAGGTAAATTATGTGATGAATGATAGTGTTTTATTGCTGGGTGGCCTGGTAATACCATACTATCACACTAAATGAGTAATGATATTAAATTAATAAATATATATAATATTATGAAAAAATTATTAATTAAAAATAATTGATTATATTATTATATATTATAAATTTATAATATCACGTAATATTATAATTATAATATTTTTATTTTATTATTTCTCCATGAAAAAGTTGAAATATATGACATCTTAAAATTTAAAAAAGTCATACTCAATCTTTTCCATTCAAGAATCTTATTTTTTTTAAAAAAAAAATCTTAAATTTAAGATACTTTAGTGTGAATATTTGATCATATAATCTTTGTGCTTGACATGTAATAAACTTTCATCATTAAAACTCGGGAGTAACTCCATTTATGATTAATATTCCAAAACAACAATGTTATGCATGTTTTATGAAGAAGATATCCTGAATTGCAATCCCATGTTCCATGGCTAATCGACTCAATACTTGATCTCAGTCTAATTACTTTTGGGATAAAATCCATTTTCGGAACCATAGCGGCAAACACGTGGCTGTAGTTTAGTGGTAAGAATTCCACGTTGTGGCCGTGGAGACCTGGGCTCGAATCCCAGCAGCCACACAATCCTATCCTTTTCGAACC